AATCATCAGAACATACCGTATAAATATTTCAAGACTTATGGATTCTTTAAAGTCAATTGACTTGATGATGCAAAAAAATATATATATATATATAAATTAACAACACACAAAATTTAAATTCTGAAAAATGAAAGATGCATTTCCTATCCATATCCTTATTTTTTTTAGGGTAACTTTGATCTTCTCGTCATGGCCAAGACGTGACCAAATTTAAAAAAAAATATGTTTGTTATTGGTTCAGTCAGTTTCTTGACAAATAAATTGAAGGATGATTTTTGTAATTTTTTTGATATATAAATATGTTTTTTGTTTACTTAGGTAATACAAGGATGCACATTAGATTTGAGTCTTAAGGAATGATTTTAGCCAAAAACTTTAAAATTATCTTCTTATTTATGATTTCTTAAGCACTGTATAAAGTGAAAAATGATCCACTAATATGAGACGGATGGATTATTCTTCATATCATTTTCAAGACTCAATACTACATATTAATTAGTAGGAATAGTATGTATATCACTAATTACATGTAGCATTATTAAATGAAATGAAACTGGGGCCGGAGATTGAAGCCCCAATGTCCAATTAGAGGGGGCGAGCATCTATATAAATATGAAGAAAAAGATGAAATTAAGAAAAAAAAGTATGGAAGTAAAAAAAAAAAACAGACTTGCTCAAATCAATGTACAAAAATCATGGGAAGAATATGTATTATGATTTTATGGAAGGAAAAATATTCTAGAAAAGAAAAGGATCAAGATCGATTTGCTACTTAAGGAAGATTCTAGAGTATTAAGATATGTTAGAATTCTCAAAATCACAAAAGAGTTTATATTTAGAGGGATCAAAAGTTCAAATTCAAGAAGACATATGTGGCTACATTTAATACAAAACAAGATCCAAGGTAAAATGAAGAGGATATCTTAAAACCTTCTTGAATTGCTTAAAATAAGAGCTCATATTAATACAAGCTAAGCTTGAAGAGAAGTTCAGAGAAATTAATGGAAAGAACAATTGTTATTTCGAAAGGAAAATATCCTACTGATGAAACTAAAAGATATGCTCAAGTTCAAAGTTCGAAGTTCAACTTTAACTATACCTAGTGCAACTGTGAGTTGGAAGGAAGCAACGATATTTACAAATCTTGTGAAGAGTGTACGTAAATGAAAAATTATTATGAAGACTTGTTATCTATAGAAGGGTGATATTGAGTGAATATTTATTATGAAAAAAGTATACTATTTCTCAAAATTAAGAAAAGAAGATTCAAAGGAGTTTAAATCATTGACATCATTTAAAGAAAATATCTTTACTATGTTCTATATATTGGAAAGAATTTGTATACAAGGAATTGGATCCATATCACCACATGAGCACACGGAGAATGAGCTATTGATTTACGTAATTTGAAATAACAAATTTTGTTTACGACGAAACCTAGAAATCGATCACTGATCCAATTTGAGTACCTCTGCATGATAGACCTCAACAGAAAACTATTAAGAAAGAGCAATTATATATGACAAGTAAATTGAAGTAATTGTTTGTGAGTGAGTGAAAAATCGATGTATGTTGTTGGTGAGGAAGTGAATATCAACCTTAATTCAAAACCCACAAAGATTATAATATTCATCTTTTTTTTCATAGCTTTTGAATCTCTGTTACTGCTACGGAATAGAGACAGTGACCTTCATATATCATCGCCTAAAGATTGAAGGTGAGTTGAATCTGATTTTCAAAAACGTTTTTGGGGCGAGTCTCGGGGCCGGGCGTAAATTAAAGGCGTAGATCCGTGAGGCGTAAGTTCTAAAATTTGAGGCGTAAGCCTCAAGCATAAAAACGTAAGTCCTGGGCGTAAAAACGTACGCCCGGACGTTTTAAATTTATTATTTAAAACTTTTTTTTGCTTTAAACCATATTTTTTTATTATTGGTGTAATGACATTTTTCAAATAGTAATTATAATCATTATTGATTATTAATATTTATCTCAAATAAAAATCATAATATAATTTCTTTATATTATAGGTTATTTATAAATATTTATTTGTAAAATCATTGAAAGGTTTACTTTGGCTTATTTTATTAATAATAAAATTATAAAATTGAATATACATGAGACTACGCTCCGTAGATCCACGCGACTTACGCCCCGTATTTTCGAGCTTACGCCTTGCCCCGTATTGTATAAAACGCATCACCTCACGCCCCCGCCTTTTAAAACACTGCTGATAATTATTCAGTTCCGACATTTATCAACTCTATATGCTTCTCATCTCCCGTTTTCTTCTAGTTCATGTAGTTTTTTCTTAAAGCACTATAAAGAACAAAAAGGAAAGTCAGATTTAAAAAAAAAATCTAGTCAACCAAAATATAAAACTTGAGGGAAATGAAAATCACTTATTGCCTTTATATAGTGTTTGTTGTTCTTTGAAATTCCTTTTAACATATGTATTTATTAGATTAAATTAACGTACATTTAATTACTTAATGAACTATTCAAATTCTACTAATCTTTGTATTAACAAATAGGTTATCGATTTAAATGTTTTAAAATTTGGAAAGCTAATTAGTAAAATAAACCAAAAGTAAATAATAGGAATTATAGAAGTTATATAGTAAAACTTAATCTATGAATTTAAAGCAATTAATTATGTATAATATGAAAGTCATGTGTGTGAGCATTAAAGTACAACTTCTCCATTTCCAAAATCATGTCCGATATATGTAATAGAAAAAAATTATTTAATAGATTCTTTTAACTAAAGGGGAAAATAGTATTATTAAATTAAATATTTAATTTATCATAGTGGGAAAATAAGAATCCACTTTGTAGGTATTATTAGTACAGATTTTTTTTTCTTTGTACTATGATATGATTACTGTTTAATATTTAGTATAATATGATATAATATTTAGTATTTAGTTAACATATATGATATGATTATTATTTCGTATTTAATTAAGGGACATTTTTAGTCCTTGTGTTAATGCTATATTCTAATTTTAATCCTTATGTTATCGAGCTTAGCATTATTGACCTTCAATTATATCATGTGGTTGGTTTCATCCTTCAACTAAGTGTGTCAAATGGACGGGTTGAGTTGAAAATGAGGATATTAATATAGGAACATACATTATATCAATGCAAATAAAAAGTTTTAAAACGAGTTGAAGTTAAAGATTAAATTAGGCTCAATTAAGGATTCTCTTAAATAGATTAAGACTTGAATGAGTTGAGATTAAATCCAATTCAAATTATCTTGAGTCTAATCATTAAAATTCTGAGCGAAATTAGACGAATTACCTATAATTAGACTCATTTTTGACACCTCTCCCTCCAACTAACAGACCCAAAGAAAATTTAACGGAGACCCTTAATCGAGGGATAAATATGATACTCCCTCCATTTCACAAAGAGTGACCTAGTTTGACTTGGCACGGAGTTTAAGAAAATAAAGAAGACTTTTGAATCTTATGGCCCTAAATTAAAGTTATGTCAAATGTACAAAATTACCCTTTAATCTTGTTGTCTTAAACATGCCACGTGAAAAGTTGAAAATAAAATATTACCAAAAAAAAAAAGAGGCCATTCTTTTTGAAACAGACTAAAAAGGAAAGGAAGCCATTGTTTTTGAAACGGGGGGAGTATTTGGTTTAATTGCTTGGATTCCTCTGCAATACTCTCTCTGTCTCATCACTCTTGTCTTTCTCTCTTATTGAAGAACAAGCTCATCCATTTGAGCTACATTTGAACAAAATTAACATGGTAAGCATCAAATTTTTCTCCCTCCCCGACGCATGCGAGCCCGTCTGAGCTACGTTTGAACAAAACCCACATGGAAGGCGTCAGATCTCTCTTTGTCTGACGAACGCGAAATCATTTGAGCTACACGAACAAAACCCACCTGATTCTTGGTATGTTGAATTACTTTGTCTCTTGTTATGTTTTCTCGGTTTTTCATGATTTTGAGCTGGGTGTTTCTAAGCTGCTATTTGAATATCTTTTCCTCTTTCTTGACTTTCTCCTGCTTTTTAAAACTGATTTCAAAGAGAAAAAACGGTGGAGCAAGCCTGTAAAATAGGTGTGGACGTTCTATTTCTCTGCAATAATTTTTAAATGCCTGAATTGCCCCTTTTACACTCTGTTTGGATCATTTTTATCCATTGTTTCATAATGTATTGTATTGTATCGTACAGTATTGTATGGTAGATACAATGTTTGGCTAGACTGTATTGTTTGTTGTTGTTTTAATAACATTTTTATTGTTTGGTTTGACTGTATCGTATTGTATTGTAATTTTATAAATTTTACTAAAATATCCTTAATTATTCTAGGGTAGGAGGTTTCACTAGAATTAAATAATATAAGGTAAATGGTAAAATAGTATTATGAAATATTATGTAAAGATATAATTGGAAAAATAAATTAAGTAACAATGGAAACACACTAAATTTGTTGTTCCATAAAATGAAGGTTTTCATTGTTACGTAACAACAGAATTTAACAATACAATACAATACATTTTAAGTAACAATCAAAACAAACATTGTAGGTATAGTAACGATACAATACAATACAATGGGTAACAATGATCCAAACAGAGTGTTATTAGTGAACTCTCCGTTTATTTTTTTAGGTCTCTTAGTTGAAGGATAAAAACCACCCACATAATATATCTGAAGGTTAATAGTGCTAAGTTAGATAACACAAGCACTAAAATTAGAATATAGCATTAACCCAAGGTTTTAAAGTGCCGTTTTCCCTACTCACTTTAATTAATTAGATAGTACTGATTTTTAGAGTTTATAAATGAACAATTTATTTCTTTTTTTAATGGTATTATTGGAGTAACTCAACTTTTTTAGGGTTATTTCGATATTTCAACTTTTTTTGTTCCTACTTTTCGTAATATATGATATATGATTGAATTAATTATATTCAGAGAATGATATAATAAAATTACTTTTTTATTTATTTCACAAAGGTTTTAGGATTTTAATTTTCCCTTTTGCTTTTGAATTTTTCATCTGCATCTAGGATTAGAATATTAGTTAGAGACCGAGTTTATTCAAGTCCTTAATCTCCTCAGGTATATTTCCAATATTGATATACATGTCTCACTGTTAAGGTTCCTAGTTTTGGATCGAGTCGCTGGACGATTAACTAAAAAGTCAGGCTGTCAGGTCTAAGCCCTTGTTCTTATTCCTTGTTTTGCTTATAATTGCTGAAATTTGCAATTCATTCAGGGAATTGCAAGCTTGGAAACTTGTTTGAGAATGTTTTGAATCTCTGAAACTTGATAAAATCCAACTTATTTTATTAATAATGTCAACTCTCTTAAATAGAGGTTTACAATAACAAGAGTCCTAATAAATTAGAAATAACAAAGTCTTATAAAACTAAAATAATTAGAATCCTAATCCACCCAGAAAGTTTTGTTCGACTAAAATAATAATTCAAAAATATTAATCATTCTTGTGTTTGTATATTGTTTCCCGACAAACACATCAATAACATTACTCCCTTCGTGAAGGAAAAGCTTGTCCTCAAGCTTGAAGTATGGAAAGACAGATTTAAAATGATGCATTGGGAGAGTAGAGTCCTCAACGGATAGGCCATACCACTGAACTAGAATTTCCCAATTACCACGATTAAGACGTGATCGGAGCACAGATCAAAGGGTGGGAACATCACGTCCTTCTTGTACTGGTGGAAAAGAAGGTGGAGTTGCAGGTACCTCACCCTTGAATGACTTAAAAAAGTGATACATGAAACACATCATGAAGCTTGCAACCTGCACGTAGCTAAGATGATAAGCAACTAATCTGATGCGCCTCAAAACTGCAAAAGGACCATAATATTTTGGTGCAAGCTTACGATAGACATGACTAGCTAGAGTTTTTTGGCGATATCTTCCCTTATGTCAAGGGGATTAGACAATTTACATATAACTCGAAAGATTAGGTTTTCCTTAATTGCACAGTATAATTTTTCAGCATGGGGATACAATTAACAACACTGTCAATACCCAGTTCCACCACTTAATAATAGTGCTAATTGCTAACTACCTATTCTAAATTAGACTGTCTCCTATAACTAACAATGATTTCAGTAAAATATATAGCTAAGCTGATTGTTTTCAAATCATAACATTAATGGGAGGAAACCAAAAATGTGTTGTATAATTTTTGACAGAGTCTCAAATGCTAATGTGCACTGCTAATATTGGGTAACTTTATTTCCTCCGAGGAATTTGACTTCTAAAGAAATGATTTTGAAAGTTAAATATAAGTATGTGAGATTGAGATTGCTTGATGTTTCTTTTTTGTTTTACTTTTTTCCTTGGGAGGAGAGTGTTTTTATAGTTCATGCTGAAAGGTCTTACATTTATCTTCATCTGAAGCATAGCTTCTTCAGGTTGAAAATTAACTATCTTGTTCTTCTTTAGCTGCTTTTTTCTCCAATAGTTATTTTATAGACAAAAATGGTTTGCCTTCTGTTGTGGACTTTCTTCATCTGACGTTTCATTATTTTTCTTTAGTTTTAGACTTCCATTGATATCAACAGAGTTAGAGATTTCCAGCTAAATGTCAGCCAAGGAGGAGGTTGAGGAGAGTCGTGCACTTGTTGAATTTAATGGGAGTGCATCTATAATCAATGAAACTGGGCTTCAAGTTTATCCAGTTGTCAAGATGACTCGGGCGAAGGTTTACCATATGCTCCTGTAGATTGGCCAAATGTTGGTGATAAGTGGGGCAGGCGGGCAGGGAAAAAAGCTACAGGTTTAGGCACCTTTAAAGATAGATATTTGTATCTTCCGAAGCGTTTTCAGGCTCTAAAAGATGGATAGAAAAATGCTTTTCGAATAAGATTTCAGTTAAAAAGTATCTCCAGTCTGAGTATCCTGGTATGGATATAAACCAATTCTTTGCCTCATTCAGTTGGATGATTCCTTCGAGGCAGTCACCGATCTCAAAAGGTTAGCTTCGACAAGGCTCTTTGGTATATATCATGTAGAGATTTATTCGGTTGTTTACATAAATGAAAAAAAAACACTTACCTCATCTTATTATTGACCTAATGCCAAATTTGTTTTCTTTTCATTTAGATATTGATTTTGACTCAGATATGAAAGAGAGGACTACATATTCAGGGACGAAAATGCAACCTTTACTGGCTGATTCTCCTATCAGAGCCATTACTTGTAAGGCTGGTAACAGAATCTGTAGCAGTTTAACAACAGAAAATCCTTTTTTGGAGACCATGCTTTGTAATATCTGCTGCAGTGAGCCTGGTTTTTGTCAAGACTGTTGTTGTATCCTTTGCTGTAAACCTATCAGTGTGGATTATGATGGGTACAGTAACATTCGATGTGGAGCAACAGTAGATGGCTTCATATGTGGACATGTTTCCCATCTAGTGTGTTCTACGAGCTTACATGGCTGGGACAGCCGGAGGAAGCATCAAATTGGATGCATAGTATTTATGTCGATACTGTGATTCAAGGATGGATTTGGTTCCACATGCTCTGAAGCTTTTAAACATCTGCACATCTGTTGCTTCTCATGCTGACATAGAAAAGATTTTGAATGTTGGCATTTGTGTTTTGCGTGGCTCACAAAAAAGGAGTGGAAAAGAATTGTTGCATCGTATTGAATCAATCAAGGCAAAGGTATAGCTAATTGATGAATTGTACTTTGTTTCCTTATGATGCTATTTTTTTCCATTTGAGGTTTACAGTTACCAGAATGACCAATTTGATACTCATATCAGCTTACAAAAGGAGTCCGCATTCAAGATGCATTCAAAAAGGAAAGCTGTGTGGATAGCACTGGTAGCTTCTTTGCCTTCTCATTGTCTTGTTTTCGTTGATATGTCACTTTGACTTGTATATCTGTATCTGAGCAAGATATTTCAGTATGTGCAAATGTGGTTCTTGTGCATTGTAAGTTTCGTCTATTTCAGTGCTTCCCGTTTTCCACAAATACCAAAAAAATTTGTTGCAACTAAACTGCAATATGACCAGAAAATAATCAGCTTGAGTGTTGTACAAGAAAATAAAATTGGAGAGCCTTGGAAAGAGTACGAAAGAGGAATTATTTGTTGTACAACCAATACATCAAATTAATGCTATCCAAGTGCTCCTTGGTCCTTAGCAGATGGAGGAAATGAATAGCTTCCTTATTAAGAGTTTGGAACTTTGGTGTAATCACTCAAGGATCCCTTATAGGGTGCTGCTTTGGTCAATTGCAGTAATAATGTCTCCTGGTATAAAGAGTTCTTCCTTGCCCCTACGACATAGAATTGAACGTCACATCCATGATCTGTGTCACCACATTAGTATGTGAAACATAAGAGGGTGGGGTAGGGAGGTGAATCAAAATTATTCTCGAATTTTAGTCAAGTTATTGGTCGACTGTTGATTTCTTCAAGTCGACTACCCTACAGTTTAGACGAATTTAGATAAAACAACATATTATATAACACTTAAAAAGATAAAAGACACAGTTGATACAAAGAAGTTCAACCATATTTTCTAATGATGATGTCTATATGTTGTCTTTCGTATTTCTGGAATCCTGGTTCAGTGCTCAATATGCTATTATTAACAAATCTTATGGCAGTTCATACCCTACTCTATTTCTAATGTCATATAGGATTCTTTTAATCATTCTAATGCTATTATTAACGATAATGTCATATTTCTGGACAATGGTTTTCATGAAGCTGTTTTCTTGATCATTACAGCTAAATCTGGTACATTGCAAGTTCTAAATCTTAGCCAGAAGAAAAGGCGCTAGATGATTTCTTCTGATTTGCCTAACCATTGATTGCAAAGTTACCCTATGCTAATGGGAGGTAACAAGTACTTAGTGGAATGTGCTTGTTAAGCTTGCTATCGGAGCAAGAGAATAACATAATTAAGACCGTAAAAGCAGAACCCTATGTCAGTTGCATTTTGTTTTTCCTATATGCTCCTCCACTTCTGGTCAGGGGTATAACAGGAAAACAGAAGCAAGTAAAAAAGTACTATCTCATTCGACCATACTCGTACATTTATACATTATCACCATGTGCTCAAACAGAAAGAGCTCAAGTTTGTTCATTATTTGAATGAACTATATACCTTGTTGTTTAAGTTAACATACATGTATATGTTACAATTGGCAAGGACGAAATTGCATGGATACTGAATTTTGATGTCATCGTTTAATTTGTGTCCGCGTCTTTTTCATGTGTTATTTCAGACAACTGCAGACATTCAGTGTTTGAAGTTAGTCTTGACGACGTCTAGCTTTATACACAAATCAGGTACTGAAGGAAATATCTTTTTGGAGATCCATAGGAAGTTGAGTCTGCTGGGGTTCCTGCCAAATGAAACCAGAATGTTTGTGTGAGTGAAAAAAAAGAGAAAAGGGTGCAATAATCATTATAAATGAAGTCTGATGACAAGTTATCGCTAAGGAAACAGTATAACTCTGAATCAAATTGACTGGTGTTCGAATTAAAAGATATCATTTGCATGTGTTTCATTCACCATATAGAAATTCAATATTAGAACTTCTGTTCTCATTTTTTCATTTTCCAGAAATAGGATAGTGTAAGATAATCTGTCCAAGTCGCACCAGTTTATGGGAATATGAATAGGGGCAATTGTTCTTTTCCTTAATTTAAGAAAGCATAGCACTTCTGTCTTATGGAGGTTTAACAGGATCAATTGATATAGCTAAATCCAGTTTCTAAAAATAGATGTTTATTTTTACTTGTCGAGTTCAATAAATCAACACATAATTTATCAATTAGTTCTTAATAAATTGGACCTTCACCAACAAGATGAAACAAAAGTTCAGGTAGTCAACCAACTGAACTATTAAGATTTATTCCCTTTAGTCCTTATAAGTGAACTGTCAGACGTTTTTTCATGATTCAAATAAGTGAATTTTTCAAAATTCAAGAGAATTGTTAGGATTTTCCCTCATATTCATCCTTTCTTTTAATGATTTTATTAACTCAATACTTCACATTTAGGAGTAATAGTAAACATAATAAAAATATTCTTTAATTTTTATTCATAAATGTTTTTCAACAAGATGAGTGTTGTATCTCAATAATTCACTTAATATTGACTAGAGAGAGAGTATCATTCATTTCCCCAATACATGCACCAAAATATTGAATTAATTTAAAATACATTTGCCAAAATATTGAATTAATGATATTCAAAGGGTAATATAATAAAAGTACTCTTTTATTTATTGCTTGTTAAGGTATGTGACAGGTGTGTACCAACTCAGACATGAAGGGAATATAAAAGTTCTTGAATACTAAAAAAAATCCTCATTACAGCCTTTGCATTTCATAAGGTATTAGGGTTCTAAATTCCCTTTTTCCTTTGCTTTTGAATTTTTTATTTGTCTGTCTTCATCTAGGATTATCAACACACCAAGTTTATTCAAGTCCTTAATCTTGTCAGGTATATTCCCAAATTCAGTCAGAGCTTTCCTGTTAATTGATATACATGTCCTCAGTATATATGATAATGTTTTATATTAAAAAAAATATTTTTTAAAGTAGATAAATATTTCATTTGTGTCAGAAGCATTTTTATGGTCTTTTTTACTCTATGTTAATTCATTTTTCTCTTAGATTGTATCAATGGTATAGTATCAGATTCATCCATCACCCTTCGTGTCCATTGTGTCATGGAGGCGTGTGGGCACCGAACTCGAAAAGAGTTATCTAGGAAAAAACTACCTACTTGTGGTACAATGGAAGCTACCTAGTGTGGAGACTAGGGGTGTAAAAAATGAACCCATACATAGGTAACCCGCCCAACCTGTCCAGAATTTTAAGGGTTGGGTTCAAAATAATTTGAATTGGGTTCAATCTCAATACATTCAAGTCTAAGTCATTTTAAGAGAATCCTCAATTGAGCCCAATTCAATCTCCAATTTCAACCCGTTTTAAAAACTCTTTATTAAAATATGTTCCTATTGAACGTATGAATTATTAGCTATTTAATATCTTTTAGGATCTATTTATGCATTTTTTACTTTTTTTAAAAAAACATTCTTGAGTTGAAATTCAAATTGTGATTATAAAAGTTAAATATCATTATGTTAAAATTATTGAGATTAAACGAGTCAAATTGGGCGGGTCAAGACCCAACCCATTTTTTAGCCCATTTGAGCCCAAAGTAAATTTGGGCGGGTCAAGACCCAACCCGATTTTTATTTCAACCCATTTTAATATCTCCAATTTCAACCCAACCCTTCCATCTGACACCCCTAGTGGAGACTCTCCCAAATTAATAGCCAACTTTTGGGGTGTGGTTGAGTGGATTTAGAGTTCCCCACATTTGTTTAAGAAAGTTATTGTCTATTATATCGTCTTCAACAATTGATAACTTTTGAGTCGAGTTAGGCGCAAATGTTCATTTCTTTGTAGAATAAAATGTAAGATGGAAGCAGAATGTAACAAGTGTTAGTTTCCATTTATAAACAGTTAATCTGGAGTTGGAAGACAAACAAGACTCTCGTACTCAATTACAACAGTTGCCGAAGGAGAATTATGAAATAAATTTTGAGATAAATACTAGAATGTACACAGTGCTAAGTGCTAACCATCATTCTAAACATAATTATAACTAAGCTGATTGTTATCTTCTAAATTAGGGGTGAAGTAAATTCAAAACATAACATTAATAGGAGGAAACAAAAAATGTTTGTATTTCGACAGAGTCTCAAATGCTAATGTGCGCTGCTAATATTAGGTAACTTGTTTTTCTCCTAGGAATTTGATTTTTTTTTTATAGAAATGGATTCGAAAGCTAAATATAAGTATGTGAGATTGAGATTGTTTGTAATTCTACATACTGGCATTTCTGAAAGGAGATTTGTTTTTTTTTTTCCTGCTTTCTAAACTCATCAAAATTTTAAATTTGTACCTAACAGAAAGGATTTGAGACCATATTAGGATTTGCCTGCTGTAGGATCTATTAAAAAAGAACCCTCCAAGGCCACAATTTATCTAATGCCATGAGTAAGTGTTGGGTTTAAAGGGTGTGAATTGAAAATGAAGAGTTGTGACTTTTATAAAGAGTTTTGACTTTTCAGAAGAGTTGCGACTTATATGAAAATTTGTGACTTTTCTGAAGAGTTGTGACTTTTCTGAAGAGTTGTGACTTTTATGAAAAGTTGCGACTTTTTCGTAAGGCTGTGACTTTTATGAAGGGTTGCAACTTTTCCAAAGGGTTGTGACCTTTTCGATAGGACACAATAAGAATCCGTTCACACCACCCTCTGTTGTTTATAAATAGAGGGGTTTCCTTTTATTTTTCAATAACGATAACAAATTTCTGAACTTCTTCTTCTACTACTAAATCTAGTATTCTAAGTGTACTTTATTGCTGTTGAGTGGTTTGTTGACACCATGGTTTTAGGTACCGATACACATGGGAGTATGAATGTTCTATCTTGAGAGGATATAATCCATTAACCTCGAGTATTTGAGGGGAATAATTTTCATAAGGAGACACTATGTATTAATTGGTTCAAATTTCTACTTTGAGGAAACACTCGATTTATTATTTCTAATTTGTTTCAGATTCTATTTTCTTTACTGGTTTTATGTTTCTAGTTTCGAAAATAGTTCTGAATATCTTAGTAATACAAGTTGAACAACAGTAATATAATTTCATGTCAAAGGTGGCTTGGAACTTTAGGTGCTTATGTCAAGCATGTTGCATTAGTGCATTATAAACAAATATTCTGCAGGTCAGCTTTGATGTTTTTTTCCTTTGGAGGAGAGTGTTCTGGTAGTTCTTACATATGTCTTCATATGCAGTATGGTTTCATACGTTCGAAAATTAGCGGTCTTGTTTTCCTAGGGAGTATGCCCAACTTTTAGCTTTTCTCCTTTAGCTAATTTTTTCTCCAATAGTTATTTTAAAGCCAAAAATGGTTTGCTTTTTGATGTGGACTTCTGATGTTTCTTTATTTGACTTGATGCCAAATTTGTTTTGTTTTTATTTAGATATTGATTTTGACTCAAATATGAAAGAGATGACTACATCTTCAGGGACGGAATGCAACCTTTACTGCCTTATTCTCCTATTCAGAGCAATTACTTGTAATGCTGGTCACATAATTTGTAGAAGTTTGATAATCATTGAAGCTGAGTTTGGTAAACCTGAAGCTGAAGCTGACACTGCTTTTACATTCTTCAGGCAAAGCTTGGATTTTGCGCTAATTTGGATTATGTTTTTATTATTCTTCCTCTTCCTCTTGTAGAAACTTTCTTCTCTTCCAGACAAAGTAGCTAATAACTACAAGGGAGTTGGATTAGCTATAGCAGGTGGTAGTGGTATACTTGTTGTTCCTGTTCGTGATCCACTTCCATCAGCTCGTGGGCGAGAGCTAGCACCAAATGGAAGAGCTATGGTATTTATGCCGATGCCTCATGAAACACTACCTCTCCCTCTTGGTGCTACTAAAACCCTCTACATAGTAGGATTTCCTTCACACAGCTCCAGAAGAGAAGGAGCTCGCATCCTTTGAGATGTCATTTACTGAATCATTATTAATTTCTGAATATATTTGTTGCTTGTTCCCTAACTGCACTTACAAGATAGTTTTTGTCCTTTTGTGGGATACATAGAAGTCAAACTTGTTAGATAGGAATCAAAACATGTAAATTGATGTTTATGCTGTTTCTATTAGTATAGTATTTATCTACCAGGTGATGTTTTGATAAAAGCTTCATTTTGCAACGTGGTGGAGATACTCTTATCCTTGGCTTAAAGGATTTCGTAGATCCAACGTGTGCATCTACTGCTTTGAGTGCATTGCAAGGTGTATTTTCTCAATGATAATAATCCACTGTCCAACTTCCGTTAATGACTTATAAAGAAATTTTTCATGGTATTATAAAGAAGTTGGATTGTGGATTATTATCATTGAGAAAAAAATCACATTGCAATGCACTCAAAGCAATAGCTGCACACGCTGGATCTACGAAATCCACAAAGTCAAGGATAAGAGTATCTCCACCACGCTATAAACTGAAGTTTTTATCAAAACATCACATGGTATATAAATACTATACTAATAGAAATCACATAAACAACAACTTTCATATTTTGCTTCCTTTCTAACAAGTCTGACTTCTATGTAGCCCACAAAAGGATGAAAAATATATTTTAAGTGCGGTTAGGGAACAAGCAACAAATATATTTAGATATTAATAATGATTTAGTAAATGACACCTCAAAAGATACGAGCTACTTCTCTTCTGGAGCTGCCCGGAGGAAGTCCCTCTATGTAGAGGGTGTTAGAAGCACCATGAGGGAGAGGTAGTATTTCACGAGGCCTAGGCATCAATACCATAACTGTTCCATTTGGTGCTAGCTCTGGCCCACGAGCTGATGGAAGTGGATCACGAACATGAAGGGTAGGTATACCACCACCACCTTCTCTAGCTAATCCAATTCCCTTGTAGTTATTAGCTTCTCCATTTGGAAGAGAAGAAAGTTGTTATAAGGGAAAGAAGAAGAATAATAAAAACAAAATCCAAATTAGCACAAAATCCAAGCATGCCTGAGGACTGTAGGAGCAGTGTCAACTTTTTTTTGGAGACCATGCTTTGTGATATTTGTTGCACTGAGCCTAGTTTTTGCTGAGACTATTGATGTAACCTTTTCTATAAACTTATCAATTTGGACTATGATGGGTACATTTATATTCAATGTGAAGCTACGTAGATGGATACATATTTGGACATGTTTCCCATCTAAACTGTGCTCAACAAGCTTACATGGCTGGGATATTTGGAGGAAGCATCAATTTGGATCCATAGTATTTCTGTCAGTATTGTGATTCAAGGACGAATTTTATTTCACAAGCTGTGAAGCTTTAAAGCATATGCAAATATGTTGCTTTTCGTGCTGACATCGAAAAGATTTGGAATGTTGGCATATGTATTTTGCGTGGCTCACAAAAAAAGAGTAGGAAAGAGTTGTTGTATCGTATTGAATCAATTAAGGAAAGGATATAGCTAATTGATGAATTGTACTTTATTTCCTTATGATGCTATCTTTTTCCAATTTGAGGTTTATAGTTGCCAGAATGACCAATTTGATAATCATATCAGCTTACGAAAGGAGTCTTCATTCAAGATGCATTTAAAAAGAAAAGTTGTGTGAATAACATTGTAACTTCTCTGCCTTGTCATCGTCTTGTTTGTGTTGATCTGTCACTTTGACTTGAATATCTCTTTTTGAGAAAGTTATTTCAGTATGTACAATTGTGGTTATCTTTCTTTAAGTATTGTTTCTTTCAGGATACAAATATATACATTTGTTCATTGTAAGTTTCGTCTATTTCAGTGCTTCCTATTGTCCACAAATACCAAAATCACTTGTTGCAACTAAACAAGTCATTCTTTCTTGATTCTGGTAGGGTGTGCTTTCCTTGTGGTATGTTGCTGTCTCTTCTTGTTTCCATCTTTATGCGAGTCAATCTCCTTGATTCTGGTAGTGTGTGATTTCCTTGTTTAGATTTATGCCTTCTTTTCACAGATTTTGAATGTCTCATTTTTATTTTTATTTTGCACAGATTATTTATAATTAGTGTCTCATTCAAACATAAGTTGGAAATATAAGTTAATGAAGCAAATAATACGTGTTATTAGTTCTCTGCCTTTAGTAATACTGCTCAGATTTATTGGAGCGTATCTGTTAGGCTGATATATCTAGATATTACCATTATTCTGCTTGTGATTCTTCTTGTTGGGCTTGATGTGCAACCATATTTTCTTATGATGATGTCTATGCACTGTGTCTTTCATATTTTTAGAATCTTGGTTCAGTGCTCAATTAACTATTATTAACGAATCTTATGGTAGTTCATACCCTACTCAATTTCAAATGTCATGTAGGATTCTTTTAATTCTTCGTTTTGGACAATGGTTTTCATGAAGTTGTTTTCTGGATCATTACATCTAACTCTGGTACCTTGCAAGTTTAAAATCTCAGTCGGAAGCAAAAGACACTCGATGATTCCAATCTGTGTAAACTTTGATCACAAAATTACCCTATACTGATGGGAGGTAACAAGTACACTGTAATGTGCAAGCGCGTACGGACACTATCATCATAAAAAATGATTTGGTACATTGCTAGGTGCCACTGATTTTAACCTTGGGCTCCAAATATTTTGCTTAGCTTGCTATTGGAGAAAGATAATTTTATTTTTCCGATGTACTTGTACAAGAAGCCACAATTGGATTACGTTTTTGCCTCTATAAATTAAATTTTTATAAAATTATATGTACCATTTAAAAAATTTAACCTTTTGGCTCAAAAACCTTTTTACCCTTCATCCATCTTTTGGCCTTCAATTATCCCTGACGTTAACCTTTTGGCTCAATAATATCCTCGATGCAAACCTTTGGCTCATATTTTCCCTTATTTTAACAACTCCTCTAAAGTAAAATTATTAAATATTTATTTATTATGTTGCCAAATCTGATTGGTCTTAATTTAAACCCTTCTAAAATAAAAAAATGAAAACTACATATGATTCATATTTTGACCCAATAAGCTTGCAACTAATATTCAAAAAATATTAATTTCATGATATCTTTGTATTGACCTATTTAAATCAACCCCCAATTTATTACCCAATTCATATTTGGAGATCTAACTAAAATCGATACTCACCTTGTTTGATTATCAATCTAAAAAAAGATTAATATTTTTTATTAATATATATTATATTTTCTATCAGTTATCCAATTGTCTTGTTCATTTTCCTCTTTTATTCTTTTTTATCTCTTATTCTTAAGTAATTAAGATATCAAGGATTCAAACTTGAAATGAACTTAGATGTTCATATTGTTTGAGTTTGTATTATTTTCATGTTGGGTGGGGATAGCGAAAAAAGTTATTTTCATTCTTTTATTTTGAATTTTGGATACAGGCAAAAGAAAATTACAGTATACGTACATAGTTTCTTAATTAAATCATCTTCTATTGAACTAACCATTCATAAATGAATGTCGTTGTTATTTTTCTCCCTTTTTTAATTTATCATTAGTTGAAAAAAATTAAAATTTAAAATGGTGGACAAGATCCAAGAAGAAAAAGTGTGAAGAGGAAGTTATTGGGGAGGATGAGGGGGGGGGGGAGTGAGTATAGATAGTAGAAATTTCTTGTAAAATTTTTACCATGGAACTCAAAATCAGGCCAAATATACGATCCCATATATTAAGTGTAATTCCAAATTATTTTAATGGAGAAGGGCCTAAATTACCCTTAAACTACGAGAGTGGGTATAAATTTACCCTTCATCAACCTTATGAGTGTAACATCCGGCAATTTGAAATAACTATGAAGAGGCATAGAATTGGAAATAGTCATTTTTGGAAAGAACTTAAAAATCTGGAAATTTAGCCAAGTATGGGGAAAAAAAAAAGAGTTTTTGGCCAACTTTGAACGGTCATAACTCCTAGCTCAGAATGAGTTAGGTGTAGTTCCAGTTATATTTGCAAATTTCGTGGAATGGTCTTTCCAATGCCGCTGAGTTTGCTTGATTCCGAGTTCGTATGAGTGAGTTATTCCCTTTGGAAGTTGGACAGTTGGCAGGGAAGTCCGTCCGGAAATTGTAAGGTATTTTGGTCTTTTCCCTAGCCTTGTCTTTTGGATATATATTAAGGTGTAAGACTGATTTTTATCAGTTTCCCTTTTAAAAGAGTAAGAGTTAGGTCTTGAGAGAAAAGGAGAGAAAGGAGAAGAAGAAGCAAACTTCGTAAAGATCGTCGTGGTTTTCATCGGTGGTGATCCCTATTAAGGTATGTGAGTTCATAGTGTTGGGTTGGTTCTTTCCCCCACACGCCAAGCTCGTTTAATTTCGAGAAAAGATTGATTATGTTTGTTGAAGTTGTTGGTTGCAATTGTTGAAGTTGTAGTTGTGTTGTGTTGAAGTTCTTGTTGGTTTGTTGTATGTTTCCGGTGGTGTTTTTGAGTTGAATCCATTGTATGTAGAGGGGTTTTATGATTCTAAGTGTTTGGTGTTGGAACCTTTGAGGTTGAGAGGGCTTAGAGTTGGAGAAAAGAAGGAGAAAAGTCGGATTTTCGGGGAAAAGGGGTGGGGCGTTGCGCCTGCCAGCGTTCCCCAAAAGGGGCTCTGAACTTTCCCCCTTGGGGCGGCGCGCCTAGCAGAGCGCCAACAGGCCCCCTCTGAAGTTTTTGGTCTGGCGCCCCGCGCCTCTCAGAGCGC